ATACCTTAGTTTAACAGTGAAGGCCTTTCTTTGTAGATCCATACTTCCATCTGAGGACATCAAAACATTAAAACAGCAAACAGGATTAAAAGATGGAAAATGAAGCAGATTTGACATCTGGTTTCAAACTAGAGCTGATGTATCAGACAAACATGGTTTTCTAGATCTGGCACCTCCGTATAATCTATCACAGAACGTGACACACGTTTAGGCCCAATAGTTCTCTGCTAATAAAGGGAGAAGTCAGTCCCCATAAATAAACCTGGGAATATGGCCAAAGTAGGAGAAAAGGAAAGGATGGAGCTAATATTAAAGGTTCTTTTGTGCCAAATCATGACTCAAGACATGCCTGCATGGCAGTATATAACACAGACCTGTAAAGATCTGCCTGTTGTTCAAATCATAAAAAAGACAATGTCAGGAATGAAGGGCTGAAGCTGCAGACTTGTTTAAAGCATTTTTTTCCCTTAAAATAACAACCGCAAGGACAAAACCTGGAACTGATTAGAAATGTTATCATGAAGTGAAAACGACGAAGCAACTTTTGTTCAGTCTTAACTATCCCCTTCTGGTGTTTGCCCCCCAAACAGTCATTTCTGCATGATGTCACTGTGTAGAGGGACTCCCAGGCTAAATAGCTACACTAGGATGGGGCCTGTGTGCTGCACGCTCAGCAGGGCTAAGTGCAGACACTCAAAAAGCCCGAGCCTGAACTGATTCGATCTTTGCAGGTTAGTCTAACCTACGTGGATTGAACGAACAAGCAAGTCAATAGACATTCACTTTTGATTCCAGAAATGCAGCCACTTGCCAGCAGTGACCCAGGCTAGAAGCTGGGGGACACTAGAGCAAGGCCTCCCTTCTCTTTAGGCTGGATGGAAGTTGAGCTGGGGAAGGCTCAGGAAGGCCTATGTATGACTGGGAGGGGTTTAAACCCCTACCCTGGCCTACAGAGAGCTCAGCCAGGGTCTGCCCAGCTTTTCCACCATGCTCGTGGCTCAGCACAGCCTTGGACCCCCAGAGTCCCCCTCCCAGCCAGGAAGTGATCCCACTGTGCCTTCTCAGCTGCTGGGGCCAGAGTTTCACTTGGGGCAGCCCAGAAGCAAAGGCCAGATCAGGGGGAGGGAGGGGAACAAAATGGCACCATGCCCAGGTGGGGACATGCACAGAGCAGAATGCAGAGGGATTGTGGTGGCGGTGGCTTCATCCTGGACGTGAGCCCCGCTGAGCAAAAGGACCCAGACGGCGGGGGTGGGGAAGGAGCTTGAGTGTGTCGGTGCTAGCCCGGGGCAGAGCCAAGCATGCAGCTGGAGGAGCAGCTCCTTCTATCTGCAACCAGCAACCCCTTCTACCCACTAGAAAGTGGAGCTAGGCCCCCACACCAGCGTGCATGGCACAGACTTGCCCCCTCAGCCCTTAGCGTTATTACCTGGATCTCCCGGGCTGCTGGGTGCTGTGGTGGGCATGCCCAGCTCACTGCTCTCCTATGCAGCAGCAGTGGTGCAGCACGGCCTCGTGTACCAGGTGTGGGATGCTGCTCCTATCGTTTTCCCAACGCCATCTGCCTGCCTGGCAGCTTACTGCAGTTTGGCAGCGTGGGCAGCGCCTACCAGCACGGCCAGTTGATGGTGACAGGGAAGCCGCAGGGGTAGCGCCCTGTGCCTGGTACACGAGGCCATGCTGTAACCCCGCCACCGGATAGGGGAACAATGAGCAGGGCACACCCAGCTCACAGACTTACTGTTTCCACATGAGCCTGGCTAGGGATCTGCTACCAGATTCATGCTGGCAGCCCTCGTCCTGGTGAGTTTGGGGCTCTGCCTGGCCCCTGCTACACACAGTGAATCACAGAAAATTAGGGTTGGATGGGACCTCAGGAGGTCATCTAGTCCAACCCCCTGCTCAAAAGCAGGATCAGCCCCAACTAGATCATCCCAGCCAGGGCTCTGTCTAGCTGGGTCTTGAAAACCTTTAAGGATGGAGGCTCTACCACCTCTCTGGGTAACCTGTTCCAGTGTTTCACCATACACCTAGTAAGAAAGTTTTTCCTAATATCCAACCTAAACTTCCTTTGCTGCAACTTGAGACCCTTGCTCCTTGTTCTGTCATCTGCCCCCACTGACAACAGTCCAGCTCCATGCTCTGGAACCCCCTTCCGGTAATTAAAGGCTGCTACCAAACCCCTCCCCACATCTTCTTTTCTGCAGGCTAAATAAGCCCAGTTCCCTCAGTCTCTCTTCAGCAGTCATGTTCCCCACCCCTGAACCATTTTTGTTGCCCGCCACTGGATTCCCTCCAATTTCTTCACATCTTTGCTATAGTGGGGGACCCAAAATTGGCCAGTACTCCAGATGTGGCCTCACTGGTGCAGAATAGAGGGGAATAATCATTTCTCTTGATCTGCTGGCAACACACCTATCAGTGCAGCCCAGGATGCTGTTAGCCTTCTTGGCAAAAAGGGCACACTGCTGACTCATATTCAGCTTCTTGTCCACTGTAACCCCCAGGTCCTTTTCTGCAGAGCTACTGCCCAGGCAGTCAGCTCACCTCCTCCCTAAACTGCTGCCTGCTGCAGTAGTTTGGGAGCTGACCCTGCCTGTAAAGATCAAGGTAAAAAGGCACTGAGTCCTTCAGCCTTTTCCTCATCATCTATCACTAGGTTGCCTCCCCCATTCATTAAGGGACCCACACTTTCCCTGACCTTCATCTTGTTGCTAACATACTTGTAGAAATCCTTCTTGTTAGCCTTCACATCCCTTGGTAGCTGCAACTCCATTGTGCTTTGGCCTTCCTGACTTCATCCCTGCATGTCCTAGCAATACTCCTCCCTAGTTATCTGTCCAAACTTCCACTTTTTGTGTAAACTCACTGAAGAGTTCTCTGCCAAGCCAAGCTGGTTGCCTGCCATATTTGCTATTCTTCCTGCACATCGAGATGGTTTGTTCCTGTGACTTCAGTAAAGTTTATTTTAAATACAGCCAGCTCTCCTGGACTCCTTAGCCCCTCAGACTGGCCTCTAAGGGGATCCTGCCCATCAGCTCTCTGAAGCAGTCAAAGTTTGTTTTCTGAAGTCTAGGGTCCTTGCTCTGCTGCCCTCCCTTCCTTCCTTTTGTCAGGATCCTGAACTCAATCATCTCATTGCCACTGCTGCCCAAATTCCCATCCACTTCTACATCTCCCATATATATCTGTATCTATATAATCCATTATCTAAAAAACGAATGGGAAGGCTGGACCATTTCAACTCTACTTTGATGATGTTTCTCTTAGAAGTATTTGGATATGACTACCTCTTACTGCACACTGCAGCCCATATCTATTGATCTATCTATGAGATACACATCCCACCCCCACACACGGCAGGAAAACAGTATCTGCAGAAAACATCAAAATAAAGCCAAATCTCGCTCTATTACCTGGACAACTAATCCTACGGGTATGAATTTTAGAAACTCCTTGAGCTGTAATAATTTCAGATTAAGCTATCAACATACATTAAGTAATTTACATATATGGTTTTTAATTTGACGGTGTCCCTGCAGATTTTAATCTTACCAGTACGTGATCACTGTTTTAGGGGATTATTTCAATACACACCCATTAGCCCTTTCAACAAAAAAGAATGAATAGTATCTTATTAAAAACCAGATCCTCCTGATGAAAATCAGTTCTGTGGAAGATAGCATATACCAGAGTGCTTGGATGAAGGTCTAGACCTCTCCTCTGGCTCAGCTCTTCCAGGTACTTTATCTAAAAAAAGGTAGTTTGCCTGGGTCCTTGATCCAAATTCTCCCTTCCCACTGTACTGCATGTCAGTTAGATGCTACAGTCCACTGCAGACTGCAACTGCCTATGTTGCAGCCATGCTTTATGTATATTGTTTGTGGGGCAGTTGGTAATATTTGGGCATGAAAGATTATACACATATATACAGTATTATTGCTAAAAAAAGAATTTATGAAATTAAGTAGCTTCCTGGGCATGCAATAGCCACTACTAAGGTAATATAGGAAAGCTTTAATTTTCTGTGCTGTTACAATGCAAAGGCTTTTTTTTTTTCGAGTGTGAAATAAGTAGAGTGGAAACCCAAGACAGAATCAAATGACAAATGGGTAGATCTTTTTTCTGAGCAAAGCTCATTATTCTTTTTGATTTTAGATGGCATTTAACATTCAGATTTATTATATAACACATGACTAAATGCAGCAGCGAATAAAGAAAAATGGTGCAGGAGTATCAGCCTGTCCTTTGAGAGCTGGATAGCAGCATCCCTCCCTGAATGCACTGTCCTGCGTATTGAAATGATCCCCAATAGCTTTTTACAGTTTTTACTTTATCCGATACCAATTCTAAATCATTCTTTAAAGAAACCAACTGGACTGCTTGCCTTGTCCCCACCTGGAAACACTCTTTTCTAAAGAGTCTTGGGAAAGTGTCGATAAGCAATAACGAGGAAAAAAAAACAAACCCTCTGCTATTTGCAGCCAAAGCCATCAGTAAAAAGGGTTGCAGGTGAGCAATTTTGTATTTTCTGTGGTTATGAACACCTTTCAAGCATTTTCTTCCTTCCTACTAAAATGCTCTGCTGAAATGCTCTACAAGCCCAAAAGCTTGCGATTAAAGAATTTTTTTTTTTTTGCAAAAATCTTGTTAGTTTAATATAAACGATACCATCCCTACTACCAGTCCTGATTGCCTACAAAAAAAAAATAGGAACTGTACATTCACTTGGGTATACTGCCTTATTTTCTGCCCAAATCGGCCAGAGAAGAAAAGACAACCAGCACCCTGTCCTCAAAAACGTGGCATTAGATTATAAATCAGATTTCTCCCCCCTCCCACCCCATCACATGGGGAAGGGCAGAGGTGGCATCTAGTCCTTCCCTCCGTCAGCCGGGGCATCCCTGCACGTGGGGGACGCCTGGCGGGTTGCAGCACCTGCCCGGTGACAGGGGCTCTGGGAGCAGGGGGCTGCAGCCCCGGGCACTGCACGGCGTTACCTGGAGGATGCAGAGCTGGCCCCATCCTGGGCTGGGCTCGGGGCGGGGAGCCGCACTCCTGGGCTCCTGCTCCTCCGCAGCACGTGCCCTCCCGTGCGCTGCCCCCTCCCGCCTGCAGGGGGCGCTGCTCGGCCCGGCTCCTCCAGCAGGGGGCGCTGCTCTCTCCTCCCCCCGCAGCCCCGGGCACTGCACGGCGTTACCTGGAGGATGCAGAGCTGGCCCCATCCTGGGCTGGGCTCGGGGCGGGGAGCCGCACTCCTGGGCTCCTGCTCCTCCGCAGCACGTGCCCTCCCGTGCGCTGCCCCCTCCCGCCTGCAGGGGGCGCTGCTCGGCCCGGCTCCTCCAGCAGGGGGCGCTGCTCTCTCCTCCCCCCGCCCCCCGCGGCCCTCCCAGCAGGGGGCGCTGCTCGGCGCCCACCCCCGCACCCCAGCAGGGGGGCGGAGCGCGGCGATGACACGCGCGCTGTGATTGGCGCGCGGGGGGCACTGGAATGAGAGCGGCGCTAGGATTGGCGGG